AGAGTGTGAGCGTGAAGAGTGTGAGCGTGAAGAGTGTGAGCGTGAAGGAAGAGTGTGAGCGTGAAGGAAGAGTGTGAGCGTGAAGGAAGAGTGTGAGCGTGAAAGAAGAGTGTGAGTATGAAGAGTGTGAGCAGGAAAGAAGAGTGTGATCATGAAGAGTGTGATCATGTGCAGCATCAGTACTTGGTTGTGGCTCCTTGTGTCTGGATCTCTGCATCAGTGCATCGTGTCATGGAGTGGATCAGTCTGTGTCTCTGCTCAGGTTCTGAGTCCAGGTTGTTCTGATCGTGGCCTTCAGCTCTTCTGAAGTGTTGGCTCTGGTGCATCATCTTCCTCTTCACAGTACACCACAGATTTTCTATGGAGTTAAGGTCAGGCCAGTTTGCTGGCCAATTAAGAACTGGGATACCATGGTCCTTAAACCAGGTACTGGAGAGAGAGAGAGAGCATGGACTTTGTTGTTTTCAACCAATTTGACACGACTGTCAACAAGGAAGAGGGCTGGCAATGGAGGAGGGGCGTACCAAAGAGACTATCTTATCACAAGCAGAACTGGTTTGTTCCACTTTGGAATAAGCTGTTGGTGGAAGAATCAGTTTTGTTGTGTGTTTCCTTGACTGATGAAGCCTTCTGGATCGAAGGTGAAACGTTTCAGCACAAAAAAAAGAAACTGTCCAGATGACCTGACTGAAAACTGTTGGGCAGGTACTGGTAGCTCTGGCACTGTGTGCAGGCGCCACGTCCTGTTGGAAAATGGAATCTGCATCTCCTTAAAGTTGGTCAGCAGCAGGAAGTCTCTAAAACGTCCTGGTAGATGGTTGTGTTGACCTTTGACCTCAGAAAACACAGTGGACCAACACCAGCAGATGACATGGAGTCCCAAACCATGAGGAGGGGGGCAATGGTTCACATACTTTTACCACTCACAAAACTGTAATAATGTGTAATTGTCCTCGATAAGTAAATGACCAAGTCTAATGTTTTAGTCTCATTAGTGTCACTGGGTTCTCTTTATCTACGTTTAGGACCCGTGTGAAAATCTGAAGGTGTTTTGGGTCAGATTGATGCAGAAATGGAGAAATAGAGAAATATTTAAAAGAAATTCACAAACTTTAAGCACCACTGTAAATACTCAGTGTTTTTCACTTTTTGTATTTGTAGGATGTGCACGTCACGGGCACTTTAACAAGAGGACACACTATCGTTCACAGAACAATGCTCTGAGTATTTTGTCAGAAAAAGGCGGATCCTTACAGACTCGTCAATCATTCATCATCAGCCAGAGTTGGATGTAGATCAAATAAAAAAAGGGAATGGGTTTATTTTAGTAGTTTTGTTGTTTTTAATAGTGACTAAAGAATAAATCCATCCATCCATCATCTTTACCCGCTACTTCCATTTTGGGTCACGGGGGTCGCCAGTGCCCATGTCCAGCAATCACAGTGCGAGGGGCGGGGTCACAGGGACACATGGAGACAAACAACCATTCTAAAGAATAAATAACTTTGATAAATATTAATATTCTGACTGTTTAGCTCCCATTTTACTGCCGAAACAAACTATAGAACATGAGATTTCAAAGTTATTACAAGTTTTTAATCTGCTGGTTGAGTTTTAATTTCACATGTCATGTTTTAGATTGAAGTCGTTTTTATAAACAGGAACTCAAATGTTAACCTTTGACCTCTGATGTTTGTCCTCAGAGAGAGAGAGCTGAGCGAAGAGGACGTACAGCAGCAGCCACCCACCTCCCCTGAGGACAAGGTAAAACCAAGACCTCTGAGGTTCTGTTGGGTAGAACCGTTACCTCAGACCTTTGAGGTTATGGTAGGTAGAACCTTTACCTCTGACCTTTGAGGTTCTGTTAGGTAAAACCTGTATCTCAGACCTTTGAGGTTCTGTTAAGTAGAACCTTTACCTCAGATGTCTGATGTTCTGTTAGTTTGAAACTTTACCTCGGACCTTTTGAGGTTCTGTTGGGTAGAACCGTTACCTCAGACCTTTGAGGTTCTGTTGGGTAGAACCTGTACCTCAGAC